GGAAGTTGATGAAAGTGAGGAATTGAGGTAGAGTTTCCCTTCCGTGGTTCCAGATGACGAAGGTGTCGTCCACGTATCGGAACCATGTGGAGGGTTTTTGTGGGGCCTTCTTCAGGATTTCATTCTCGAAGTGTTCCATAAAGATGTTTGCGATGATGGGTGATATCGGGGATCCCATTGCTGCTCCCGTGGTTTGTTCGTAGAATTCTCCTTCGAACTGGAAATAGGTGGAGTTGAGGCAGTGTTCTATTAATGGGAACAGGGTGGATGGAATCTCTTTGGATGTTCTGATGATGTCCAGAGTGTCTTGGACTGGGACGTTGGTGAACAGGGAAACCACGTCGAAGCTTACCAGGATGTCGTTGGGCTCGGTTTTGATCTTGGTTATTTTGTTCACGAAGTCCATTGAGTTCCTGTTGTGGGAGTCGTTGAGGCCGGTAAGTTTTTGGAGGGGTTTGGTGAGGTAGCGGGCTAGTTGGTACGTGGGGCCCCTGATGTTGCTGACGATAGGCCGTAGGGGGACTGATTCTTTGTGAATCTTCGGAAGGCCGTATAGTCTGGGTGCTGAGCTGTCGCTGGGGGTCAGGTATTTCGTGGTTAGCGGAGGGAGGTTCGCCTTTTTGATCAGGTAGGAGGTTTTCTTCTCTACGCTAGTGGTTAGATCGCGTTTTAGTTTTTTGTAAACTTGGGCGTCGGACAGCAAGGTGTTGACTTTGTTGTGGTAGTCTCTTTTGTCCATCATCACTGTTGCGTTGCCTTTGTCCTCCGGTAGAATGAGGATATCGTCATTCTGTCTTAGGCTTCGAAGCGCTAGTCGTTCTTCCCTGTTAATGTTTTGGATGGGAAGTTTGGCTTTTCGGAGGATCTGGGCTCACTGCTGTCTGATGTTGTTTCCTGCTTCAGGTGGGAGTTGGAAGATGGCGGTTTCTATTTGGCTGATGATCTCTTCTGTCGGGATCCTGGAGGGGGTGACTGCAAAGTTGTGTCTTTTGGCAAGGATGGCTGTTTCGGCGGGTGAAAGGGTCTGACTACTAAGGTTCTTTTCTATCAGGGGAGGAGCTGCTGTTTGCGTGTGTGGTTTCATTTTTGCAAATTTTTCTTTTTGTGTTTTGGTTCTTAATTCTGCCGAGCGGGTGGCTTGCTCGTGTGTAATCCGGTCTATGGTTTGCCACAGGTCCGGTTCTAGTTTGTAGGAGAGGGATAGATGTAGCTCGAGAAGTTTTTTGGAAGTCTCGGCTAGGCCCTTTTTGGTTGTCGCGATTCTCTCCCTGAGTAGTCTCAGCGACGCTTGTCTCAGGATGGCTGTGGATTGTTTGGAGGGCGGGAAGGGGCTTTTTATTTGCAGGAAATTCGGTACCGTCTGGTGGTCGCGGCACCGCTTCAGAAATGCTAAGGAACACAGTTGTAAGTGCAAGGACTTCCTAAGTTTTGTGAAAAGGTTTAGCGACCCGAGAGTTGCCTTTCCGTGGAGGCTTGTAATCTTGGCTTTCAGGCTTTCGCGGCTGTTGTCTTCTTTAGTCTTCATGGCTTCCGGATGGTTGCCGCGTCCGTTTGCAGTGTGGTGCCGACGTTTCGCAGGGGTTGCAGTCTGCTTCATCAGGGCTGGGAGACTCTGATACTGAGCTCCCTCGCGTTGCGCTCGTCCTTTTATACTCGTTCTTGGGGGGAAGGGAGGGGGTAGTCAGGGGGGCGTGGTCAGAGGGAGGGGAGTCAGCCAATCCCGGCTGACGGTTTTTTTAAAAATCT